TAAGAAACAAGTGTACTACAAAAAATCAGTAAGCCCAAAGAAAATATGAAGTGAAGTTGCCACAATATGTACTCAAGCAGCCCAAGAGAATATTCTCATACATAAACTACAGAACAAGGATGCATTATTGGATTCCCAACGTTATTAAAGAAGGGGATGAATCTTAAATGATAGAGGAAGATCAGGAAAAAGCAGAGGCTATGGGTGACTATTTTGGGGCAGTTTTCCTTCGGGAACTTCCTCTAGACACATCAAAATATGGATTCAACAATCCACCTGCTCACCGTGGACTTCGATCAAGACGATGTGCTTGTTAGGTATGCAGAGGAATATACCGATAATTATCGTATTAAGCCGAATGGTGTCCTTGCACGTTAAATGTACATTTCCTATCGATCGATATTTACTTCACTTGTTTAATATTGTGTAAATGTTGTTTTATTTTTATGGTACGAAGTGGTCTGATTGATCAGCATATAAACAGAGTGTGCTTGAAATATAATGATTCATATCTCAGAGGCGGTGGCTCGCGTTCTGAACTCAACTGGCTGGGATAGACAGCGAAGCAGGGCCAATCGGGACTCTACGTCATTCATTATGTGTTTACGTGTCACCGAATCGATCGATAAGTACGCTGCTTATCAAAACCTGAAGCCATCTGTTACAGCAGTGCTTAAGGCTCTTAGCACCTTAAACATGGAGAAGTCAACAGGACCAGATGAACTACATCTCAAAATCTTTTGACGTTTTACACAATATACCGCGGCCCCACTGACTGTGATATTCAATATGTCACTTGGATAAGGTTTGTTGCCTATAAACTGGAAGGACGCAATCGTCACTCCCATACATAAAATAGGACCAAGACAACTTCCATCGAACAACATACCTGTAAGCCTCAACAGTGCTGTAGTTAAAATATTGGAAAGAATAGCCGAACGGACCATAATGGCATTCATGGAGACCAATAACTTGCTAAATATAGAACAACATGGTTTTAGAAGAAACTGTAGTGTACAACGGACCTTCTCATAGTAAGAAAAGCTTGGATAAAGGCGCTAGACAATGGAAACTCAGTGGACATTGTCTACATAGACTTCAGTAAGGCTTTTGACAAGGTGCCAACAAATAGACTGATATTGAAGTTAGAAAACATTGGTATTGCCGGACCTCTTTTAAAATGGATTAAGGATTTCCTAGTAGGTCGTAGACAGAAAGTAAGAATCAATTCCAAGTGCTCCATCTACAGACCAGTACTTAGTGGGGTACCTCAATGTTCCGACCTAGGTCATTTACTTTTTAAAATGTATGTTAATGATCTTCCAAGTATAGTACAGTCTTCAATGCTATTATACGCTAACGATGTAAAGATCTGGCGAGTAATAATTGGAGACGTAGCCACACGTGCTCTTCAGGCAGACTTGACTAATATGATTAACTGGTCTAAAGAGTGGCTGATGCCTATCAACGCGGCTAAGTGTGACTACATGGGTTTTGGGGAGTCAAAGGTCATTAGGTGTAACATGGGGGAAGTGCCATTACCCGTGGTGCGGTCTCATGGGGATCTAGTAGTGACAGTGAGTTATGATCTTAAGACGACGGCCCATCGTCGGGAGGTCGCAGGTAAAGAGTTTCGAACGGACACGGATATCCTAGGAAAATTAAAGAGGTCAGCTGCCCGTGCAATTCCAGAACTCCGAGGTTTACAATACAAAGACCGGCTTGTAAAGCTGGACATCTTTACTCTGTCCTAATGCAGATTAAAGGGAGATTTAATTTTGATGTACAGAATACTGATAAGTGATTTCGGACCTAAATTATTCTCTCTTTTTGCTCCCACTCGATCGGGACATTTCAGGGGACATACCAGTCGAGTAGAAAAGCCAAGAACGAACAAAATACCCGTGCCATACAGCATTTCACATTGAGTCATCAGTAATTAGAACATGCTGCTCAAAGCAATGGTGTCCGCACCTTCAAATGACTCTTTCAAGAGAACACTGGACACTCATAGAAACATGCTAGGAAAGGAATAACCTAGGCCAAAGGCTTTCTGTCCTTACTACACAAATCTGAATCTCAATCTTGATACTGATGGATATAATGATGTATAGAACCTGGCCGGCAAATGAAGCCAGTTTGTTTACGGCCTCATTTTCAAGTTAGACAAGAACAGCCTGCACCTCTTGCTTCACAATGTATCTGAAAATCAGTTTTTCAAACAAACATAAATGATGGTTACATTCAACACGTGAAACGTAAATATTAAAAGGACAATGCCCAATTCCTTTTGTCACGACGTAAAGAACCTAAAAAAAGTTTTTCACGATTTTTTGTAGTTGAAAACTCTATTTGTGTGAGATTTCTTAAAGTCTTATACTTTTTATTACATGAAGATTAAGCGCACTTATTAAACATTTTTTCTGTAAGTCGCGCATATTGTGCTTTGTTCTGGTTTCGTTATAGTTTCGACATACATTTCATTCATTTCTGAACTGTAACCAGGTATTACACTTGCTTGAATAAAGTTACATTATTGAGTTGAAAAGAACAAATCCTATATTCAATAATCGATGGGTTTTTTCTTTTCGTTTTGTTATCGATCCTGCGAATGCTTTGTTATGTACTCAAATCATTTTTTTCTGAAGTCTTCTGTTTTCACTCACTAAATATTTGTTGATGCACACTAGATATTCTCAGAATTTATCAGTTTTAGTCTCATAACGCCTCCGTTAGCACACCGCCGTCATGAAGATTGTTACGGAAAATAGACCATAAAATTTGCACGACGAAGCAACCATACCATTTTTGGTAGATATTAAAGTGAGAAATGTGGTGTGGGACAGCTATGAATTCATATTGGTGAGGGGCTGGAAGTAAATGAACTCTCTGACTATGCGTTTTCAGTTGCCCGTCTAAACTCTAGAGTTTTTAAAGCCTTCCTTTATTTTTTCAGTGATCCAATAACCCATTTACTATTTATCCTAAGTATACATATAGCCTATTCTTCTTGTAACACATTCATATTTATCATTATTACTGACATTAAGCCATACTGATGTTATCCGTGTATTTGTTGGTCAGTCTCACTTTATTTACTGAGGGTATTCTGTCTATTAGTAACATAAATTCTGAAATCATCCAAGGCGAACACTTTCGTGAATGACTTAATTTTCCAAGCTTCTGTAAAGCATGCTAATTTATTGTTCGATTGTTCTCATGGCTGGGAATTTGAGAACTTGGCTTGTACACCACACTTTGTGTTAACAGAAATCCGATCCGCTAACTAGATCGTTAAGTCAGTATCTACAGGGTATTTATGACTCTTCGCAAACAATAGGAGTTCCATTTAATTTTATGAAATTCATCTTAAATACCTGAGCACCAGTGTATTACGAATACCACTACAACTGTGTGGTATCTTATTGTGGATGAACAATATTTCGAACACTTACGTTCACGATAATAGTCAGAAATCTCAATCAAAGCCAAATAAACCATTTTTTGTTGGAGTTTGTGCTTTACCACTGTTCATCTTCAGAACTAGAATGATAATCTTTCGTCTATATATGTAAACTTTAAATTAGTAAACCTTTATTGTTGTGGGTCAAAAGCCGATAATAAATACACAGTCGTTGACTGTAAAATTTTTAACATATCTTCAGTCATATTTAGGACTTATTAACTGCATATATTTAAACCTGTGCTAATATCCACATTTAAATTCTGACCGATAATATTGCTCAATTAGCATAATATTCACGGACTTTTTAAAGCGCTTTCATTGTCTTATCTTATGCCAATTATGTTTTTGCCTAGATAAGCATTGTGTTTTGTAAATTTAAGATTGATTTGGTGTCAAACCTCTTTGTGCTTCATTTTATCTAAGTACATAGGAAATATTGTCCATTTGTATTGACACTTGAATGATGCTTGGATAATGTTCTTTTATTCTAAATGCATTTCTCACTTTCGATCAATTTTAGGAGACCTGTTGTAAGATTATTACGGTTAGCTGTTTGTTCATTGAATTAAACGTGATCCCATTGCCATTTATAAGAAACGCTATCTAAAGTGAAAAATGTGGACTAAAGGTAGTTAGAAAAGTAATGAGAGAGTATATCATTTTGTTGGTTACAAACTGAAAGCCAAGATACTAACTAAATTGTCAATTTTTAAAAACACAGGCAACGTTTACTCATTGTATGATACTGTTCACCAGCTCGTGAAGGTTTTGATATGTTAATTGATGCTTATCTAGAATTAACAGAATTAGGATTAGAATGGTGTTTAATACTTTAAACAGTGCGTTGTCTAAATTTTCAAATGTCACAGAGCTAGTAAAACACTTAGGTAAAATTTCGGAATGCAGAGATAAAGAACAAAAGACAAATAAAAGGGAAGCAAATTCATAGCAAACAACTTGTTTATACTTCGAAATCATGGAAAACTAATATATATAGGATGACCAGCCACACAATAAATTAATATTCGTCTTAAAAATATTTGCTCATTGATATTTATCATGGGCAATACATTTTACATGATGTAGGTATAGTTTGTACTGAGCATGTTACCCAGAAGAACAGTGAATGAGTCACCTGGGTCGGAGAACGCGATTCAACTGAAAAAGACCTCTCGTTTGTACTAATCATTCATGTTATTTTCTGTTATAATGTGTTCACTATGTATGGGGGAAACACATGCGTCACAAAAAAGATCAGCTACCTGTATCACAATGAATCTTTTTATTAGTTTATATTTCATTTTTACTATTCAGTTAATACAATAAAAGGTGGCTAATGTTTCTAACTTTGTTTTATAGCAACGAACTTCATCTTCTAACACAATCATTTACACTATATATTTTAATCACACATCTGTGGGAGACGGATATTATATAGCTTTTTTGGGAAAATACATATTGGTTTTACCTATTCATTTGAAAAGTTTAATAATAAAATAAATTCGTAAAACTGGCTTCACCTAACACAAATCATATGAAGAAGAGGTCAAGTGCTGAATACAGTGCGGGTAGGTATTGTTTTTAAGCAATAATTATTTACATGCACAAGTTTATATATATGCTATAAGTCAAATTGATTGAGAAGCCCTAATCTTTGATACAGAATTGTGATTGTAAAACGTTTTGGTGATCTCTGTATGCTAATATATGGAGTAAATTGTAAAATACACTACAACAAAGTTTCTAGCTAGTTAATTCTACAATCAAATTTAGTCTTACAAATACTTGAGCATCCCTGGTTGAATTGATACTTATCAACAAGTTTAGTAGCAAAAATATTAATGGCATTTTTGATGTTGTTTTTTCATGAGTTATAATACTAAGAGCCAAGTTTATAATGACTAAATATGCCGTGGTTACACAATTTCCAGTACGAATTTAATTCATCTTCCCTAGGTGATCACTTCAATTATTATGATAAAAATATGACAACTAAGTATCAAAATACTACAATTTTTTGCCATTATAATTAATTTTCCGGTGCTATTCCATGTATTTCCATTTTCAACTTGTTTTGTTATGGACCCGAACAGTTCAATGAATAGTCTGTTATTATTATTATTCAAATGAAGAAGGGTTTATATCAAAGTCACTATGCAGATGAAAAATAATGAATATGTATATTTAAAATTATAGAAGTGTATGTCTTTTTACTCAATCAACCAGTTTGAAGTCATATTATTTGAAGACTTCAGTCCTCATTGGTCCTGATTCCTGTCCAGCCCTGCCTGTTGATTCCAGAACACTAATATCAGCCTCCACGACATGAATCATGTATTTCTAGTATACGGGGTTTATATGCCAACCAAACCGACCACATCGTACCAAAAACTAGTAAATAACATTTATTCAAGATCAAGCTAAAAGTGGCTGTGAACGTGAGACGTAGTGATTAATAGACTGGTCATAATTCAAGAATGGTATATCGTATAATAATAGTTCATAGGTCAAAATAAAGCTCATAATAAGAGGGACATGAATATGAATAGTTTAGTTATACGATAAAATATACGTATAGTATTAGCCCATAAATGGATTCCAAAAGTTACCATTCATTATTCTTATCAGGATATAAGAATTTAAACGAATAGTTTGATGAGAATCGGGCATTAAGAATATATTAAGAAATAATCTGATTACTGAATATTACATTGAAATGATTCAAATATTAATCATTAAGATGTTTTCCAATTGTATTCATGTAAACAATTGGATAAAGTTTAAAGTTCCCTTGACAAGATTGTTTTATCTACTATCAAAACTTCAGATGGCATTCAACTTATATTTAACACTTTTTTTTGTAGTTGCTTAACAATAAAACAAAAAAAATGTGAATATTTATTTTTTTTTCTACTTAAAGAAGTTACATATTTTCTCATTTGTTTTCATCAGCAAAAAAACTAGTGTCCCCCCTTTAAAGTAAATTTCAACTTATAATTATTATTCAGATGATTTTTGTAGTCAAATAATGTACACTTTCTTATAAACACTTAAAGGATACAGAAAAATGCAGGGAGAAAAATATGAGAATGGAATGTTTAACTAATAAGAAGTACAAATTAATCAATAAAAAAAAGGTATCATTTAACAAAAATGTAAATGTTCATTTACTTTTAGTCAACCTTTTTTTTGTCCTATTAAATAAATAAACAAAATATCGTAGATCTTTCTTATTTTTAAATGAAAAAGAAAAACTTATTTTAACTAAATGTTTCTCATCAGAAAGGCTTTTGTGGAGATTTTAGTAATTTTAATAGTTAACATAACGAGTCAATGGAAGTTAGATCATCATGTAAAACCTGGAAGCACCGGACGATCGTTTCGTCCTATTGTGGGATGCCTCAGCGGTACGCATTCACGATCATGCCACGTGAGATTCGAACCCATGACCTATTACTCAACATATATTCACTGTTGATTGGCTTCAAAAAGTATGTCCTTGAGTTCTACTGAGAACACGTGACGAGTGGAGTTCAATCTGGTATGACTACTGTTTGGGATGGTTGGAAGAAAGGTGGGGTTAGCCAAACCAAAACGTGACATCTAGTCTTATTCATCTTGGTGGATGCAGACTACTTGGTTGCGTTCAGTGTGACTATCGTAATCAATGGTTGGAGACTCTTTGTGAAATGGCTCAGAATCGATCACAATGGCGTCGGTGTATACACTCTTCATCTTCCTTTAAACTGTGAGATTAAATTCACTTCACATCGTTCTGTCTACAAACTAACCATTTCTCCTTGTTTCTTATTCTTATATATTCTAACAAGTGAAGTAACTGCTTCTATTAATTCGGTGTTAATCTTGTTGTGTGACAATTTCGACCGATGCATACATGTGTATGGTCATACATTGTAGCTGACTGATTGACTGATTGTTATGAGGTAGTAACTCACTGATGACAATGGCAGATGTGTCGCTCAATTTCGTGGATTGTTTAAAGTTACACATTAACACCGTTGCATGATGGCTGGCTTAGTAGTGTAAAGGTTAAGTGGTCGTATGCGAGACCGATAGATCTTGGGTTCGAATCTCACGAGTCGGGTTCGTAGATGAACACTCCTGAGGAGTTCCACAATAAAATGAAATGTTCATCCAGTACTCTCAGGTTTTCCATAATTGTCTAGTTTCAATTGACTCATTATTTCATCTATTAAAAATAATCATTGTTAATATGTTCAATTTAGTTGAGTTCATGTTTAGAAATAATTAAAGTTGATGAACAAAAAAAATGATGGAAATTAATTTGTTCTTAAAAATCTTTTCTTTTTCAATCGAATTAAATTAACTTATTGATTATTTTAATGAATCCTATAAACTAGTTAAAATAATTAAAATCAAATCTTGACCTTAATAAAAGTTGATTATAATTTTGTTTTTTTTATTACTTATATTAATGATTATAAGTAATATATATAATGAAGGCTAATTAATGAATGTGAAATAATTCAAAGAAAACAACAGAGGATAACAATTCGTCTTTTTTCTCTCGTTAGAATTATGTTTAAGTAGCTTATAATAAAGACTTATGTAACATTATCAAGTCATAATGAAATCATTAAATAATCAGCAATATTATGATGTGTACTATTGATGTCGATTGATATATGAGTAGTATGTATCATCCATCGAAAGCGAAATATCTGACAGCAGAAAGTTAGGAAGATTGAAGAGAAGAGAACGAGAACAAAGAATGATTGATGTGGAGATGAAAGAACAATGAATTTTGAGACGATTGATTAACATTTTGCCAATGAAGTATTTACTGTATGGTTCTTAGATTTTACCAAGATGTTCTGTAATTTTCTATTCTTGTGTTCTTGTTCACAGCACTGTGATTAGGGTTTAACAATGATTTCAGATTAACTATTAATGTCATTAATTTTTATTAAAGAAAGTGCATATACAGTTGTTTGAAGTGTGAACTGGTTAAAATCTGTCAAATTTTGTCACGCGAACAACAAGGCAACAATTCATCTTATAACCGATTGTCTGTCTTTGTGGTTTTTAAAAGAGCAAGTCATATGTATAAAATGATTTCCGAAATTCTTTTATTTATTTGTCACAAACCTGTGTGCCGTATACTTTGCATTGTTCTTTTCTTACGTGATATTTCGACTAAAATTGTATCGCACACTACAGACTAACTTCAGTTAGAATTAATTAGCTAGTCCTAGTGTGAAGCCGTAACACACATGAGGCGTCAAACACATATGACCGATGGGAATAAATAATGGTTCCACAGTATATCGAGTTGATAGAATTTAAAAATTTAGAATGATTGGATATCAAATCTGTAGTATTAAGGATGGATCTTAGGTCTTGGGTTCCAATTCTTAAGTAATAGTAGTTGGGAATTTTGATATGTTCTGTACTAGGACGTAACAACTGACTAATACATCTAAGGATTCACTAGTTGGCCAACTGGTATCAGTCTGTAAAACAGTCTTAAAACTATGCTAGACCACCATGGAAAACCTGAAAGCACTGGACGACCATTTCGTCCTAGTATGGGACTCCTTAGCAGTGCGCATCCACGACCCCGCACCTCGCGGAAACCGAACCCAGGAGTCCCATACCAGGACGAAACGGTCGTCCAGTGCTTCCAGGTTTCCAGCGGTGGTCTAACATCAATCGGTTCATGATCTCAATGAAAAACTTAATAATCTCCACAACATCTATACTGATATATACCAATATAGATAACTAATGTGCACTAATTTTTACTAATAAAGATAAACAAGTTATTCATTAAGATGTACCAAGTTAATAAATAATAATTTATTACTAAAAGATAATTCCGTATTACATATATCAAACATGTTTTTTTATTTATTAGTTCACCTTTCATCATTCATCTAAATTATGTACATATCTCTATGAGTAAATAACTAAGAGCTTTCTAGAATATAAATTCTCTCTCTCAAAAAAATGATAAAAAATAAAAAAAGAGGAATAAAACTAGAAAAAAAATTGATTCGATCATTAGTATTTTTTTTCGTAAACCAACGCAATATAAAAGAAAACTAAGGAGGTATTTCTTTTCTTTTTTTTAAATCCATATTTTTCTCTGTTGTTCAGGAAATCCAATTATCATATTACCTGTTTTTCTTTTGTAAATTGAAACTATATATATATTAATTGAATAGTTATATTCATAAGTCCAATGAAGTTAGACCACCATGGAATACCTGTAAGCACTGAATAGCTATTTCATCTTAGTATCTATCTATATATATATCTGATCAATGATGTATTGATTAGGAATTATGTTAATGATCCAATTATAAATTTAATTAAAATATTCTTTATGATGAGTGATTTCTTTTAAATAGAATAAAAAGCATTACAAAGTGAATCAATAATGTAAACATATCAGTAAATAATGTACCGTTCATAGATATAGATTTAAAACAATTACATACAATGTAATATTATGTTTACTATAAATGATAGTTCTATACGGATATTATTATATACAGTATTTACATTTGTAATTTGTAAAAAA